ATGCAGTAGCCAAATTGCTCGCTCACAACTTTAATGCCAGTAGCTCACAAAGTAGAATTTTTGCTCACAAGAATCCACAGCTTAGAGGGAACATTGGCAACGAGTCGGAGAGGCACCATTCATAACAATCGTGCTCATATCGAGCCCGCCAGCTGCGCCCCGCTCTTTCGCTGGGGTTGGCTGGTTCGCGGCCAGGAGGCGAGGGGGCACAAAATGGGTGGTGGGCAGGGCTCCCTCCAAGCTGCGTCCTGTGAGCAAAAATTCCACTTTGTGAGCGGCTGGCATGAAAGTCCTGAGCAGTGTTCCCTCTAAGCCGAGTTAGTGTGAGCGAGCTCGCAGTTCTTTAGCCTCCGGCTCACACATTTTTGTCTCAGCTCAGGGAGGATGGCTCCAGAGCAAACGAACTGATGCAGCAGCCAAATCGCGTGAGCCGGTGGCTTAAAAACTGTGAGCTGGCTCACACTAGCTCAGCTTAGAGGGAACACTGGTGGCGGGGGAAAGGGGTGCGGTCTTGGAGGGGGGCCTCCAAGGCAGGGCTGTCAGAAGCAGCTTCAGGCCAGAGCCTGGCTTGGGCCCCCCAAATCCCCGCCCCCGGCCCGAAATTCACCAGCTGGAGCAGGCCACACTCAGCCCTACACCTCTCCTGCAAAATGGGGGTAAATAAAGCCGGCCTACCTTGCAGGGCCGTGGTGAGGACGGCAGCAGGATCACGGTGGGACGTGCTTGGAACATACCAAGGGACTGTATCAGCAGGACGCGTTTTGACTGTTAGTCATCATCTCAGAATATCCAGACGGGACGAAGGAGTGGGTTTCTCCTGGTCTCTTGGTGGCGGAGAGCGCCGTTAGGTCACAGCCGACTTAGGGCGACCCTGTAGGATTTTCAAGGCAAGAGAGGAACAGAGGTGGTTTGCCATTGCCTGCCCTCTGCGTAATGGCCCTGGGACTTCCTGGGTGGTTTCCCATCCAAGAACTAACCACACCTGACCAAGGTTCCCTCTAAGCCAGGTGTGTCGAACTCGTTTGTTACGAGGGCCGGATCTGACATAAACGAGACCTTGTTGGGCCGGGCCACGTGCGTCATAAAATGCAATGCCAGGTAGCAGAGATATAAACTTCATAAAGGACACGAACACAAAGGGTTTAACTTAAAACAAAAACATGCTGAAAACATGAGCACTCTTGCAATATTTTGTTTATTTAACCGTGTCTGATAACTGACACCGCTTGCTCTGAATGATTGTCTGTGCTGTTGTGACCTTGAGTGTGCTGTTCTGGTGTGTATCTGTAAGCTGCAAACCTACGATGACGCAGCAGCAGCAGGACTGGGAGAAGAAGCAGAAGATGACCAGTTCCACTGCGGGCCTGATAGGAGCCCTCCGGGGGGCTGATCCGGCCCCCGGGCCGCATGTTTGACACCCCTGCTCTGAGCTGTGGAGTCTTGAGAGCAAAAATCCTACTTTGTGAGCTACCGGCATTACAGTTGTTAGCAAGTGATTTGGCTCCTGCATAAAGTAGCTTGCTCTGGAGCCCTCCTTCCTGAGCGAAGACAAAAAAACCTGTGAGCCGGAGGCTAGGAAACTGTGAGTTGGCTCACACTAACTCAGCTTAGAGGGAACACTGGACCTGACCCTGCTAAGCTTCTGAGATCTGATGAGAGCGGGCTACCCTGGGCCATACAGCTCAAGGGAAGAGGCATTCAGAGGTGGGTGCCCATGGCCTGCCTCTGTGTAGCAACGCTAGATTCTTTGGCGGTCTCCCATCCAAGTAATAACCAGGGCCGACCCTGCTTAGCTTCCGAGAGCTGACAAGATCGGACTTGTCGGGGCGGGGGGGGGAGAGATTGGATTTATCCCCCGCCCTTCACTACCCGAAGGAGTCTCAGAGCGCTTACAACCTCCGTCCCCTCCCCCTCCCCACAAGAGACACCCCGTGAGCAATGTTCCCTCTAAGCTGTCGAGTCTTGTGAGCAGAAATTCTACTTTGTGAGCTACTGGCATTAAAATTGTGAGCAAGCCATTTGGCTACTGCATAAATCAGTTTGCTCCGGAGCCATCCTTCCGGAGCTAAGACGAAAATCTGTGAGCCGGAGGCTAAAAAAATGTGAGCTAGCTCACACTCACTCAGCTTAGAGGGAACACTGCCCGTGAGGGAGGTGGGGCTGAGGGAGTTCTTTCGAGGACCGCTCCTGAGAGAGCAGCTCTGAGAGAACGTGTGACTGACCCAGGGTCACACCAGCAGCTGCATGTGGAGGCATGGAGAATCAAACCCGGCTCTCCCAGATTAGAGTCTGTGCTCCGAACCAGGCCGCCAAACTGGGCTTGTGATACGTCAAAAGACTAACGAAAGTTTCAATCCCGCATCAGCCTTCAGACTCAAAATGGGGGCCGTGTCTTCCCTGGAACCGGGGACTCCCCAACCCTCAGTTTAAGTTTAACTAGTAAAGGGTCTCTAAGCGTTCCTGGACTCGAATTTAGCTCTTCCAATGCAGACCAGCATGGCTACCCGCTGCAAGTGTCTTTTAGCTGATCAGCTTTCCATCATTCCATTTCAGCCGGTTCTTCTGCATTTCATGGCTCCTTGACCTTGCTGGTCGACCCACCTCCCAGGGTGTCTGTTGTGGGGAGGGGGAGGGAAAGGAGACTGCAAGCCGCTCTTCTTCTTCTGCATCATTAAATGATTACACACACAGGATTCACTCCTAGGAAATATACATTGGGATAAAATTCTGGTCGTCTTCAAGGCGCCACAAAACCCAGTGCTTTTCTGCCTGAAATTATCCAGAAATATGATGGCCAACAAAAAATATTATTATTGCCAATTTTTTTCCTGCCGCTGCAACTTGGTTGTGCCACCCTGAGTCTACGGGCACAGGAGAGGGAATGAAAGAAACATAAGAACATAAGAGAAGCCAATGTTGGATCAGGCCAGTGGCCCATCCCGTCCAAAAAGACCAGGGGCCGTCAGGAGGTCCACCAGTGGGGCCAGGACACTAGAAGTCCTCCCACTGTTGCCCCCCCCCCAACACCAATGAATACAGTGCATCACTTGCCCCAAACTGAGAGCTCCTATCTGTACTTTGTGGCTAACAGCCACTGATGGACCTCTGCTCCACATATTTATCTAATTCCCTCTTGAAGCCATCCATGCTTGTAGCTGCCGCCACCTCCTGTGGCAGTGAATTCCATGTGTTAATCCCTCTTTTGGTGAAGGAAGGAAGGAAGGAAGGAAGGAAGGAAGGAAGGAAGGAAGGAAGGAAGGAAGGAAGGAAGGAAGAAGAAAGAATCCCAAAACTGAATGCAGCCTATGCTTGGTGGTCCAGCAAAGAGTTCACAAAATCTACGAGTTACTTGGTCTGCCCGAACTGTAGAGCCAAGGGGATTGTCACGATCTGGACAGGCCACAGAACCTGGCTAGCAGACAGCGTTTGGCAGGTTTGCTTTCTATGCAGTTACTTAGAAGTAAATCCCACGTAATCTGATGGGCCTGACTTCCGAGAGAAAGAGAGAAGCCCAAATATCTGCCTGCCAAACTGCAAGACCAGAGCCCAGAGGGGCGATCCCCGTTGGCTCTTCTGAATCGTCCCTCCGCCTCTCCCTCCTCCCCCTCCCCAATATTTCCTGTTCTTCTGCTTTCCAAAGAAACAGACCAGCTTCCTCTCCAAACTGTCAGACCATCTCTGTATATTTAAGGTCTTCCCCGAAATTGGAATCCAAAACTGCTCTGTGGCTCATACCCGGCCTGCCTGGTCTACCTTTTCAAAACGTACATCTCTCCCCCCCCCCCCAGCTTTAAAAGGCCTATCTTTATTTCTGTGGGTCTCCTGGAAGAGGCCGTCCAGGGGTATCCTGCCTCACAGATCAGCTCATATCTTTCCCTTTCATGGCATCCCGGATCCACCTGGCCTTACGATGTGGGTGTGTTGGGTGGCCAGAGTGGCCGGGGGTCGGGGGGTCATTTGAATCGGGGCCTGCTGAAGCTAAAATTCAGAATGTCTTTTCAACCCTGAAACACGATGAAAGAAAGTTTTAGGGGGTGCATCCCGACTCCCTTCTTTGCAACTCCCCTACTACCTTCTGACTGGGATATAAGGGCTCCGGGACATCCATTGTATCTGACGAAGGAAGGAGGAGGAGATTGGATTTATACCCCACCCTTCACTCAGAGTCTCAGAGCAGCTTACAAACTCCTTTCCCTCCCCACAACAGGCACCCTGTGAGGTAGGTGGGGCTGAGAGAGCTCTTTTCCAGAACTGTCCTTGAGAGAACAGCT